AGTTTATGAACAAAACCCAGATTATGGTGCAAAATTGATGCGGGCAGTTGGTGAATATAATTCTTATCATATTTAAATTGTAACATTTAATTTTACCCTATAAGTAATGTTTAAATTGCAACTTACTATATTCTTCTTCAAATATGTATTATTATTGTTGATCTTATATTTATCATTCGTTGAGTTAAAAAAAATTATGTAAAACTTTATGAATTTCTATTGAGTATTAAAAAAATTCATTTTTATTTTTGCTTCTGCAAATTAAATTTAAAATTGTTGTGTTTTATTTTGTATAAGATACATTCTGCTTGCGCGTGTATATGTGTATGTGTGCGTGTGTGAGTGTAGATATAATATATATATATATATATATACATATACATAATATACATATATATAGATATATACATAAATACATATATGTATATACTATATATATGCTGGATAACGCATAAATAATTCCAAAAATGCATTGTAAACCTGTATAAAAAATTAAAATTGAAAAAAAAACTCTAAGCTCGACCGAAGATTTTCGTTTTGGGCTAAAAAGTAATATTTTTACCTCTACTTCAAAACCCCGAAAAAAAATCGGAGGTCCATTCATTTTTTATTTAATGCTGGTTAAGGAACGCCGTGCGGGCATTGTCGACAATGCCCAAAATCAGTGGGCATTGTCGACATTGCCCTGTTTTTTTCGGTCAATGTCGAAAATTAGTTATAAAATTTCTGTCTTCTGGGCAATGTCGACAATGCCCAGTCCATTTTGGGCAATGTTGAAATGCATAAAATTTTTTAATAAAAAATAATTTGTAATATAAGTAAATATTTCATCACTTGTTAAAACTGAATAATTGAATAATATAATCAATTTAACGCTGTTTACTAAATTCTGAAGAATTTTTATTTGTGCAGTCAATTCAATGGATTTATTTGCAATCATTTTGTGTGCCCCAAAAGGAGAACTTTTCGTCATTTTACGATATCAAACATAAGTATAGACTTCATTGTGATACTCGGCTGTAATTCTTAATTTTTAATATTTAATGTACTAAAATAATGTTTTATAATTGTAAAGAAAAAAGTTTTAATAAATTTTGTACTTAATTATCAATTAATTTTATTATTTCTACAAAAATATTAATTAAGGTGAGAAAAATTTATTTGATCAACGCTTTGTTAGTACAACAAATTATTTTGCTGTCAAAAAAACGGACAGACAATTGTGCTTACATGTCTTGTGAGGAATATGAAAGTTACATTAAAAAAGTGGACCAATTAAAGTTATGCGAAAAAAAGGATTCGAGGAGTTACAGATTTTTAAAAAAATACGACACAATTTCCGTGAACGGAAACAAGAAATTAATTAGACCTATTAACAGTGACAGTGAAAATAAATATTTCGGGCATTATTTTCTAATAACATGTTACTTATTTATAATAAACAACATTGCCCAAAAATTAGTGGGCAATGTCGAAAATGCCCGGGCATTGTCAACAATGACCGGGCATTGTCAACCTTTTGTAAACGTTTTTAAAAATAAGTGGGCAATGTCGACAATGCCCACTGATTTTGGGCATTGTCGACAATGCCCGCCTCCCGCACATTGCCCGTAACATATATATATATATATATATATATATTGAAATAAAATCCATCATCATTAGATCATGAATTTCCGGAATTATCATCAGTAGAGAACAAATCACTTGAATCGGCCTAGGAAGTTTATGTCGTCATTATATTAATGGAAATCACTTTAAGACTACGAGAGAAAAGGACCTTCAAGAGTGACGAGCAGAATCTAGCAAAAGCCAGTTGAACATCACGGAATGAGAATGCTTTTCCAAGTTCCGTGAGAAGGAACGTCATTTCCTTTCTAAATATCGACAAGCGAAAACGATGAAATCTAACGGGAGTGTTGCTATATATTTATAAATATATATGATTGAAGATGAGCGATAACAAAAATATTTTAAACAATTTCACATTTCATTAAATCGAAAATAATTAATTATTTCGTGCGAAAAATATTCACATTCTACTACAAAACTTTTATTTTATAATAATTCATTAAAAATTCATGAAAAATTTTACTCTTATATATTAACTCGAAAAATGTTATTGTCAAAAGTATTCCTCGTAAAACATTGAATTTTCGTGTAAATAAAAATTTCAAGAGACACTTGACAAAAAATACATATATATATATATGGAGTAAGTCACAAAAATAGATTTATTTTGAATGGAAAAAAATCCTGTGGATGTCACATCAGGGAAGCTTCATGTAAAATTCGAGAATGATAAAGATTTTAAAAGAAATTTTATTACTGCATAAAATGTTTTTGTGTGTAACACACCACCTTCTATAAAAAAAAAACAGAAATTCTTCTTTACGCTAAAATTTCTCGAAAATCTTGGTATATTTATTTTATTTATTTTTCGTGAAAAAAAAACATTTCATAGCACACTCCTGTGGAAAAATTTGAAAGTATCTCGCGAAAATTTCCTCTGTTTGACATTACTACAAACAATTTACTGAAAAAATAGGTTTTCACATTGTTTTCATGAATTTCAATATACATATTTTTTTTTTTTTAAAGTATATTAAAATTTTTTTATTAAAAACATATGTGAAATGTGTTAAAAATTTGTCGAATGTATATGAATAAAAAGTCTCATGTTTGATAAATTTTTTTTCTAAATAAATGAGAGACACAAGTAACATATTTGTCATTAATTATTTTATTTTATTATGAAAATCGTCAAAATAAATGAAATTTTAGAATATCAAAAAAAAAATCAATAAAATAATCCTCTTATATAGACGAAGATTTTAGGAATCCGGTTGGCAACAGCGTGTGTATTTCGCGCTTCAGATGAAAACGAGATAAGGACAGAATCGTGATTTCTTTTCGTCAAAAAACGAAAACGACAAACAAACAGAAGGTGGACTCAGATACCGTGAAGTGAGAAAATGTTGGAAAAAAACGGAGAAAAAGGCAATGCGAATTGTGAAAACAAAGAGAAATATTGAAAAAGGAACTAGAAATGAAAAAGTGCCAGAAACAAAAAAAATGAAAAACTAAGAAAAAACAAATTGTAAAAAAACAACAAAAATGAAATATGAAAAAAAGTTAAGTGAAAGATGAAAAAATGATCGCGGAAGATAAAAAAAACACTTTGACCCTACATTGAACCTCCTTTAACCCTTCTTTCACCTATTTTAACCCTATTTGGATCTACCTTCAATCTACTTGACCCTGCACTTAATCTACATAAACCCTTTCAGTCATATATTTGTCCATTCAACAAATTTTACGGATTACTGTATCCTTAAGAGTTTTTGAAGTTGCTGATCACGAATCTGAAATCCGTTTTTGAAAATTCAAAATGGCGTATGAAAAAAAAATTAAAAATTGATCTGATTCGTTTGAAACTTGTTACTCAGGGGATTTCGGGGTCCCTAATTATGAAACTGAATTTCGTTTTTGAAAATTCAAAATGGCGGATCCAATATGTCCGACAAAATTGTAAAAAATTGATCGTATTCGTTTGAAACTCGTCACTTGGTGCTTTTCAGGGTCGCTAATTACGAATCTGAAATACGTTTTTGAATATTCAAAATTTAAAAATTTTTAATTGTTTGAAACAACCAAATAAATGTATTGCTATCTCTCTAAATATGAATCGCAGTGAAAAAGTCACTGGTCTCAAATTAGTCGCTAAATTCTAGCTATTTGAATCAGTGGTTTTCATGTGACATTTCACTGGATCAAATAAATATTTTTTGAAACAAAATAATTTTGTTCAATTATTTATTGAAGTAACCAAAAATTTGAGTTAAATCAAAACAATGGCGGTTCAAACAAAACTTTACTTTATTTTTTAGCAAAATATATTACTATTTGATTCAGTAAAAAAAAAAACATTCTCCCTAAGTTTTAGTGAAAAATGACTAAAAATTAGTACAATTTTTTACTAATTTAAATTAGTGAAAGATTATACATAATTCAAATTTGAAGACTACATTATACCTATACTTTGACAAAAAAAAAGTCTTCTGAATTTTTCTCTTTTCATTATGAAAAAAGACAAAAAAAAAAAAAAAAAAACTAATGCTTGTGTATATGAAAATGAGGTCATGATGAATCTATCTTTATTTTGTCAGTACATTATAAATAAAATTCAGATCAAATTGAGTCTTAAATTTAAAAAGATTTGTCTTAATTTCAGCACATGTTTAAAAAAAAGTTCTCTTAATCACGGAAAAAATTTCTTGTGTTATTTATAAACTTCAGTTGTAGTTTCCACAAAATAGCTGATTTTTGGAAATATACAAATCGGACTTGTAAAGAAAACAAAATTTTTTGTCAGACGCGAAATTTTTTTTTGACACAATAAATTTTTCCGTGTACGTATTTAAGAAACCAGTTGAAATAATAATCAAATACCAAAAATCGAATGTTATAAAGAGTGAAAACAAAACAAAATTTAAAAAAAACTAACAAATAAATAAAAACAATATATTTTTTATATATAAAGGAGGAGAAATCAAAATTGGAAAAAATAAGAAAGGAAACGTAAAAAAGAAAAAGGAGAGAAAAAAACTAACAAATAAATAAAAACAATATATATATATATATATATATAATGGAGGAGAAATCAAAATTAAAGGAAAAAAATAAGTCAGGAAACGTGAAGAAGAAGAAAAGGGTCAAAATAAGGAAAAAATAAAAATGAAGAAAAAAAAAGAAATAGAGGAATGAGAAAAGAAGATGAAGAAATGAGACGATTTGAAGGGTCAACCGGAAATGGAAAGACCGAGAGGAGGATATTTTGGATAGAAACGGTGGGAGAGAAAGACGAGAAATGAATAGTGGGGGTTGGCAATAGTGAACGAGAGAAAGAGAACGAGAGCGAGAAGGAGACAGAATGAGAGGGTTGGAGATGTAGAGATGGAAAATGGGAGGCCAAGGGGGGTAGCACCAGGAGGCCGAGGCTGCGGCGTAGCCTCAGTGCCGGCGCAGTGGCCGGGCCATCGTGTCCTGCGCTCAGATCTCGCGGAAAATCTCAAAAGATTCTCTCATCTCTCCCAACCAAAAAAAAAAAAAAAAAATCATTTCCATTTTTATTTTCCCCCAAAAAATTTATATATTTATCAAAAATTAAAAAAATTATTTTTTTATTCTCAATCCTTTTTTTCTCTAACTCTTACTCTTTCTCTTGATAATCAATTAAAATTATAATCATTCATACCATCTAATTGTGAATTTCTCGTGGTGATCAACAAGAGTTTCCCTGGGCTTTTGCTTTAGTGCGGGTGAACGAACCATCTTGTCGCGGAATTGAGGTGCTTTTACCAAAAGAGGGTGTTTTTTTGTGTGATTCGAAATTTGCGTTTGTGGTCTTTTGCGACCATTTTATATATATATTTTATATGTAAAAAAGAAAGAGCAAAAAAAAAAATTACATAACTCAGTGAATTGAAAAAAAAAGAAAACAAAACAACATCATATATAGTGATTGTATAGAGGGGGGAAAAAGTGGAAAAAGGACGAAACACGCGAGGTGGGAGCCATGCCGCCCGGGCCAATCTCTTCTCAAGCTTGCAGGATGATCCTCGTGATATCTCTCCATCTTCGACCTCGGAATCTAACACTTTGCCTTTCTTAAGGTAAGAAGTTAAAGATGTGTGCAAAATGTCTTTTTTTTTATTTCATGCTGCTAAAGATTTATTGCGAGAATGAAAGATATTATTCATCAGTAATATTTCGCAAAAAAGTGATCCTCACACAGAAAAAAATGGGATTTACAAAAAAAAAATTAATTTAACAATATAATAATAAACATTTAGTTGTAAATTTATAAAAAAAAAGAAAACTGAGAATTCACATTAATTTTTTTTTAGAATGCACAAATCATCAATTCTCAAAGTCTTTAACAAAGTAACAAATTGTTACTCACGCATATAGAAAAAATGTTCTGTGGCAGCGAATTATTTGCTGTCACATCAAATTACGTTAACTAATATAGGGACAGCGATCAAATTTACCGTGGGGTCAAAAAATTTTGCTGTGACAGTAAATTTTTAAAAATTAAGACTGGTATTATTTATCATAGCCAACTTTTTTGCAAAAAATTTAGCTATGGTTACTAATATTGTAATAGATCTGATAACAAACATCAGTTAGCATCTGTAAGCAATTCCTTTTTTTCCGTGCTTCTATCAGTGAACTTACAATTACAATAGTTGTTTACTTATATTTTATAATGTAAAAAGTAATTTGTTTTTAACATCACAAACAACAATTAAATATTTATTTATTATAGATAAAGCATTATAAATCAAATTATAAACAACTATTCGAATATTTATTCTATATTATAATAAAAAAAAATAATGATAACAATATAGAATAGTAAATAGCCTATCAATGAGTAATTTAACACACATTAAAATGAAAAAAAAAATTTTAGATAACTTTAATTTTCTTTGATCAAATATTTGATTTGAATTTCAAATTTTATGATGAATCAAACATTTTTTCGATCCAATGAGTTATATATTTTTTTTCTCTGATAAATTCAAAATTATTTTTTGCACCACAGAACTTAAATTTTATTTTTGCTCCAGTGATGTTTTCGATTAGATGAATTGAAATTTTTTACTAACATTCTGAAAATAGGAAAAATATTTTTTTTAATCTAGTAAAAAAAAAGTTTTCTCATTTTGACACACAATGGCAAAATGTATACACAATAAATAATAATTATTGTAAAAACATTTTAAATCTCTTATTGTAATATTTATAAAGAGTGTGAGACAATAATTTCCTGATTGGAACGGTGTATCAAGGGAGTAAGGAAAATTTAATGATAATATTAGCGAAATTGATAGAAGTGCACTTAATGACATTTTCGAGTTAAAATTTCCTATTCATGTGAAAATATATGTATAGAGAGCGACCCATTAATTTTTATGGCATTAATTTCCTCTGTCGAATCAAGTATCATTTGGATATGCGGAAACTGAACATCAAAACAGTTAACATTCTTTTTTCAAAGATAGTATCTAAAATAAAATTGGAATGAAAATTACAAATATTGGAAATTCTAATGAAAAATCAAAATGGTAACAATAATTTCTGTTTTTTCAAAACAATTTTTTGACTTTTTTTTTCTTTTTTAGGAAAAGTATTATAAAATCTTTTCTTATTCCCTAATTTCTATTTTTGGGTAAATTTAATTAATAGTTGCGAAAATTAGTGAAACTGAAGATTTTGGCAATGAAAATAACAAACAATTTTATAACTTTAAATGAAATAAATTTTTAGTTAAGGACGTTGATGCCTGATAATGCAGACTTCCAGAAAAAAATTTAATTGACGTTTAAAAAATTAAAATATACTAATAATAGGATCCGCTGAAACAACAGATAACAATAATTTTCAAGAAAAATTTTAAAACTTACAAAAATTATTTATTTATACATTTTGCATATGACAAAAATTTGCACTTTAAATTTTATCAAAATGGTTCACTTGTTCAAAAATCCAAGCGATGATGATGTTAAAAATTATTTCTATAGAAAATAAATCATCTTAAATTAAAATTGAATTATTTTGCTTCCTCGTGGAGGAAGCTATGTAGTCCTTTCGTTTATAAACTTTTTAAAAATGGTGAAAACAAATTTTCCTCTATATAGAAACATGTTATATGAGATCCTGATCAATTGTCCGGATGTATGTATGTGTGTGTGTATGTGTGTGTGTGTGTGTATGTGTGTGTGGATCATTTTTGTGAACACGATATCTTTAACAGGTTTTAATGGATTTGGATAAAATTTGGTAGGCTTATTTACCTCATTAATCTCTCAAAAATGACGAGAGGATTTTTAAAAATACCCAAAAAAAAAAAATTTAATCGTCTTTTTTCCAAAAATTTTTTTTTAATTGAAAAAATTTTTAAATCGAAAAATTTAAGGTAATATATAATATAATCGTCTTCTTTATGTCAAGATGAATCGATTGATATATATAAAGTATAGATTTGATTGAAATTTAAAGAATTAAAGAAAGTTAAAAAATCAAAAATTCTCATTTTAGCTAAAAAATGATGTGTTTATTTAAATTCATGTTTATATATGAAATAATTTTATTCCCTGTATTGAAACGAATTGGTTGGTATATATAAAGTATAGATTTGATTTAAAATTTGAGAATTAATAAAAATTGAAAAATCGAAAATTCATATTTTAGCTAAAAAATTTTGTGTTTTTTTTAAATTCAAGTTGATGAATAAAATAATTGTATTCCTTGCATTAAAACGAATCGATTCGTATATATAAAGTTTATGTTACACTCAAAATTAATTAAAATTTTCTTTATTTTTCAAAAAATTTAATTAATTTAAAACATTTTTAATTCGAAAGTTTTTAAATCAATCAATTGAATTGGACCAATTCATTGCTTCCTTCACGAGGAAGCGAATTTTTTGCTTCACATAATGAGGAAGCATAATGTTTATGAAATAAACATAAAGGACCCCCTTCTTGTTTACAAAATTTTAAGGAAGCGATATAAAAAACAAATTTTGATCATGCGCAAAATATATAAATAAATAATTTGTGTAAATTCTAAAAATTATTATTAATAATAATATTTTAATTTTATAAACCTCAATTTAAATATTTTTTCTTAAGGAGGTTATAGGATTGACTGAACTAATCAAAACAGAAGCCATTATTTTATAATTTGACTTACTCGGTATTTTGAAACGTCTGGCAACACCGCCTGGTTGCTATGAATTGTTTACATTCAGTTTTTAAGCTATCAGAATCAATATTTTAAAATTTAGCGCACAAAATTAACGTATAACGCACATGATCAAGTGTGCAACGTTGCCAGATGTTCTGACAGCTGTTCAATTTAACCTATAAAACGTGAAATATTGTTAAAAATTAATTTATTGCAACTCCAACAAGAACCCACCCAGATAGCACTGAACTTTACAGGAAGTTAACAGAAAGTTAACGGCGATAAGTTTGGAGAAGTTTTATTTGTCCTCAGAGTTGAAGTTAACACTGTTAACTTGTTGAAACTTAGAAAAGTAAACTTGCTGATTGTTTTCCTTTGTAATTTTACATAATATTTTTATGGTACACTTAAAAATCTATTTAAATGCGCAGATGTTTTCTACAGCAGCTAGGGATGCGCAATACTTTTTAATTACATTTCCCTATGGATAAGCTATGGATGTACTAAAATACAAACATCTTGAAAAAAAAATTATTTTTTTAATTTTTTAATTAATCAGAAAAAGCATTTTGCAAAATTTATGCAAACTTACTAAATAAACTTTCGGCAAATTTAGTTTCATAAATTCCAACAAGTTAACAGTGTTAACTTAAACTCTGAGGACATTTAAAACTTCTGGAAAGTTAATAGGAAGTTAACAGTGTTAACTTCCGAACTTATGGTCGTTAACTTCCTGTTAACTTCCTGCAAAATTGGGTGCTATCTGGGTAATGACACTTTTTTAAACAGATATTTAATCATTATATATCTGTTTTGTATTAAAAAAAGTTTCATCAATTTTCTAATGTTAATTACTTTGTGGTGAGTAAATATGTATGAAAAATTCCAATAAGACTCGAATGTTAATTGTTAAAAAACAAAAACGCTCATAACTTTTTTCACAAGAACCTAGAGGTATCAAAAATTTAGCTATATAATTTTCAAACATTTATCTAATAGTTGACCAAGTTTCATTAAATTCCTAATATGTTAATTCTATTTCCGCTATAATCTCCTTAAAGTCTATTTTTTCTTAAACTTCTATTTTCGTAAATAATTTTTATTTTTTGTTAAAGTAGAAAAAACAACTTTCAACAGTAATTATATAAAAGTTTTTATTTGCTAAAATAAAAAAATAAAAATTGCTGATTTAATTTAATTATTATTCATTGAACGTGAAATAAATTTGTTTGGTTAAATTGTGGAAATTTTTAAATTATCAAAAAAAATATTGAAATGATCATTAAAATGTTTTGAACGAGTTCATCAGAGTGTTAAACAAGCACAAAATAAAGCATACATGATGGTGGTAGTAGTCTCATGAGAAAACATTGCGAGGAATTTCTCTTCACTCAGTCTCACAGTTGAAAATTGTCGATATGCAAAGTGCGCAAAAAGGATTTCATGCTTGTGGATTCTGTGGTAACAAATACGAACGCAAGAAAACTTGAGCACGAGTTTTACCCTCATTGTATAAATAAAAGATCATTTTTATCACACAGAAAAATACCACACATATACATATATATATATATATATATATATATACAATGAGACTTTTGTCTTATATTTCTATAAAATTATTTTCCTACCGAACATTATAAAAAACAGTAACTGAAATTTCGACATAGTAACAAAAATTCAAAAATATAATAACAAAAAAGGCTTTTAATAATTTTGTAATTTAATTGTAAATTAAATTTATCCTGTATTTTTTAAGCCCAAAAAAATCTCTATTCTTTAGAAAATCGTGTTTTAATTTTGTGTAGGAAAACACAATTTTAAATGTGTATTGAACCTATAAATAAATTGGAATAAAATTAAATCGAAATAGAAAATTTTGTCTTGTTTCAGAAGAGAAGAAACTTTTCTTTTTTTC